TTCCAAGAGGATTTGCTTCAAAAGCCTGGTGAATGCAAACATTTGACCAGCACCACCTTGAGGGGCAAAAGAGGCTATTTCCATATAAGGAGCCAATTCAGAGGAAAATGAGACCACTTGTCTATTCACAACAGCTCTTCAGCACAAGTTACCCCAACTTCAATGCCTCCTAAGCACTTTTCCTTATAGACTTTCCAGGACTTGGTAGGGGAAACCACACCAAATCTCATCTGTTTGTGTGCACGCAGAGTGCAAGAACTCCTGCAAATGGAATTTTCTTCTCTGACACTATAAAACCGCAAAGCAGTCTGTCCCACTGCATTCAAGAAGTGCATGAGATTAATCAAGCCATGCCTTCAGGCTCCAGGCAACACTGCAGCCCTTGCTGCTCTATTCCAAGGGGTCCATCTGTGGTAGGAGCAGCCAGCCCTGCTCAGCCCAAAGGGAGCATCTGTGCTTTGTGATGAAGGACTGGGAATCCACTGCATTTCTGGACTGAGCTTTAATGATTTTCTGGCACATTTTCCTAATAACCATGGTAACTCTTGAGCTGCAATATCTCTTGAGCCCACATTCCTATTCTATTCTATTGGCATCTATTCTCTGAAAAGGATGCCAACCACAGCAAACAACCAACTCAGCTTCAGGACTGGAGCTAGTATTTCTAGTCACAAAATCTGGCATTTGAGCCAATTGCTGAATGGGAAATCCCAGAGCTTCTCAACTCTGTGGCCAAATTCTCAGCATCTGCATATTTGTTTTCCTACCCATTTCATTTATTTTTAAATGAGAGGCTGACTGAATTTTCCCCAGGCTATGCCTTCCATTGTTGGCCCACACACAGACAGACCCACACGCCCACTATTTGCACTGACACAAAGGAAGAGAAAACACAGTGCAGAACGTATTAATACTTAGCAAAATGCACATTGAGATTCAAATGTATTTTGAGATTAGCATAGCTATGATGCTATACATTTTGGTTTTGAACAAGAGAGGTATAGAGAGCTGCATACAATGAAAACAATGTTTTAGAAACAGTGAGGGACTTGGACTTCCTAGTTCTAAGTTTATCACCTCCCTCCAGACTTCCCTCAGATCAACAGTGCCTCTCCTTCAATTTCCATACTCTGACAGTACCACAGCAAAAATGCTGATGAAATAAGTTCAAAAGCATCCCACTGAACCCTTTGCCAGCTTCCAGCCATCTGTGGCTTATGAATTCATGAACGCTTTACTACCTTTTCCCTTTACATTTGACCTCTACAGCATCTAACAACATCCAATTTGATGTTGTGTAAGATTTGAACTTGTGAGAAACTGCACATTCTTGTTTATCATTCACCTCATCCATGCTGCTCCTCATCACACAACCCTGCCCAGCTCTCTCTTCTCCAGGCTGAAGAGTCCAAGCCTATTTCATCTCTCCTTGCAGAGGAGAGTTTGTTGCACACCAAAGAGCAGAGTGTCAGTTTTAGAAAGAGCCATGAGGGCTGAATGACAGACTTACAGACTGTGCAGTCAGAGCTGCACACAGCATCTCTTCTGAATGGCCCAGAGAGGACAAAATTCCACACTTCCTGCAAAGGGCTGGTCAGGCCAAGAAGGACGTCAGTGAATACATCCAACTGGATTTGCATTTCATCTTTTAGAAACTAAAATAGAGGGTTCTGAAGGGATCCATACAGAGCTGTTATCTTGATTTACTAGGGGGAAGATGCTTCTGTAGTTCTCCAGTGCCTCAGTCTCTGTCTTCTCTAAACTTTTCACCCTCATTTACACCACATCTGAAAGGGAGACAGGCACCTCCAAGAAGTCAGAGAACCTCAAGAAAACAGAGGGACAAGTTAAAGGGAATCAGGTTACTTTTCATCAAAGAAAAGAATACCACTAACCATAATGGAGTTTCACCACTATTCTACACATCATGAAATTTGCAAAGAAGATATCCTGAAAAAATCCCAGAGCAATAAATTCTGCAATCACATAGCTTTCTTCTGAGTTGTAAAAATGAATCATGTGTTTTCTAGAAGCAAAAAGAGCAAATCATGATATATGAATAGGATCTGCTGCTCCTTCTCTGCCATTTCATATATATCCATACCTATCTATATATATCAGGTTATTAAAAAAAAAGCGAACATAACTTTGGGCTACACAGTCCCTACTCACAGCTGCAATACTGGCTTACATTGTCTAAGAGATATATCTACTAAAATGAGCTTTCTCACACGTCTGAGACTTCATGAGCTGAATTCCTGAAAGATTTTTGCCATGATTTTGCTGGGATTTTTTTGTGTTTTGTTTTTGTTTTGTTTTGTTTTTTTTTCTTTTCATTTATGTGCTGTTATTGTTGACATTTCAGAACTCCCAAAGCAAGAACAAGGCATAGCTGTTCCAGCTGCAGGAAAAGCCTGAGCGAATGCAACAGAGCCGGAAGGAACCTGAAGATCACTCAGCCCATGCTCACACCCCAAGGCAGGATCACCTACACCCATGTTCATTATTTCTCACAGACTCATCTATCTTTTCCTAAAGCCTCCCAGTGACAGAGACTTGACAGTCACCTCAGGCAGTCTGTGCCACACAGCTCTCCTATACATCCTGGGCAGAAAGGATGATTGTTCCCTTCAGTGCTGCAGCAGCCTTTGAGCACCTAAGACCATTATGCTGCCTCCCCTCAGCAATCTCTTCTGGTTAAAGAATTCAGTCAATCTGAGCTCTGTCAGGCTTGGTGCTGTGACCACTTCCCTGGGGAGCCTGTTCCAGTGTCCAAAAACCCTCTGGGTGAAGAATTTATTTCCTAACTTCCAACCTCAACCTCCTCTGATGTAACTGCAGGCCATTTCCTCAGGCCACCACCACAGAGAAGAGATCAGGGTGGCCCCTCCTCTTCCCCTCACTAGGAGTTGCAACTGAGTGAGGTCTCCCCACAGTCGCTTTTTCTGCAGGCTGAACAGGAGTGCCCTCAGCTGCTCTTCACACAGTTTCCCTTCAAGGCCCTTCACCATCTTCATTGCCCCCTCTGGATGCTCTCCAACAGTTCAATATCTTTCTCACATTGCAGCGCCCAAAGGTGTCTCCAGGACGGCAGGTGAGGGCACCCCTCCCCTTGTTGAACTTCACAGAACTGGTGATTGCCCAGCCCTCTCAATTATCAAGGCTCTCTGCAGGGCCCTCCGGCCTTTGATGGGGTCAACAGCTCCTCCCAGTTTTGTATCATGTGTGAACTTGCTCAGAATCCCTTCCAGCCCTACGTCCAAATCATTGATGAAGATGTTGAAGAGCACAGGGCCAGGATGCCATTGGATTTCCTGGCCACTTGGGCACCCTTTGGCTGGTCCAGCCTCTCTCAGTCAGCACCCTCAGGTCCTTCATTACATCACACAAAACTTTTTTTTGTCTGTGTGATTGATATATTTAACAAGAAAGGTGGCATTATGTAAAACAATTCCACTATTATTATGTTTGAATCATTGCCCTAAATAATTTTATGGTATGATCACAGACTAATGCTTGTCATCCTTGGGACACTAAAGATAAGGAAGATATTTTCAGTAGTACCACCGAGTTGCACTTAGCCTAGACTTGGTGACAGTGAAGGCACTGGAGAGGTCTCACAGCACCTCTGTATCATACCAGAAGAGTTCTCTTTTGTTTCAACATACAATCACACAAAGTGCTTTTAAATGCTCCACTCGATCTTAAATAATCTGTTTTTCCAAGAAAACAGGAAAAATTTTCTCTCTCAGTTCCTAGGAAAGATGACATTTTGCTTCCTTTTGTAAAATTTGCTGCATCTTTTTCCATTCTTCTGTCTTGGAGTGGTAGAATTCCATCCACCATTTCAGGCACATCAAGTATGAAATTCACAATCCCCTGAAGTCAGCCATCATTAAATATGGAAAGAGATTTGATCAGCCAAGTCAGTAATTTCTCCATACAAATTAACAAAAATGAACATACAAAGATGAGCACAAAGGTCTTGCATCACAAACATTTTGCCCACTTGTCAAAAGACTGCAGCTCCAGCAGACTGATCCCTCCTACAGGAAGGAATAATGGAAATCAGACATCAACTTCATCTAAGTAACATGTCTGAAAAAAACATTAAATGCTTACAGTCCTAATGCATTTCCAAAATATCCTTATTACTCCCCTAACTATTTGGAGCACATGAAATTTCCAGCAGTTTCAATTCTACTTTTCAGAACTTAGGTAGATTAAAAAACCCCAAAACCACCAAAAATAGAAACAAAAAAAAAAAAATCACAGAACTTCCTATTCCACATACTAACTTCAAAGTACACATTTGCATAAATGATTCAGAAATATTTAGACACTAAAAATCCATAAGAAGCAAAAGAGATTTACAAAATACTTTAGAAAAAATTGGTTTCTTATTTCCTCTCTGCGTTTTATGGGAAAATCTGGGGTTCCTGTCAGGTTTCATTTTAGGAGGGATGTGGATCACTATTTAAACTGAAATGTTTCTCTGACAGATGCAGACATTCCATCATTATATTATCCCACTGAATGGTCAGTATTGCCCACGAGATGTACCATATCCTCATCATGAACGTGCTGTAATGGCTAACAAGAAAAATTGCAGATGATTTATTTAAGCAGAACCAGCTTATATATTAAGGGTATGACATGTTCTGATGAATCAACTAATTTTTCCTTCTCTTTCATTTCCTCTAGAACTTCAAAGTAATCAAATGTTGTTTATGCATAAAATTTAATCCTTTCACCAATCTATAGTTTGATTGAATTTGCATACTCTATTTCCTACAAGTCAATGTGAAGAGAGCCTCGTGTAATTGAAACCATTTCCCCTCCAGTCCTCCTATCTTTGTTGCAGTATTTTCTATTAGTAGCTCTATTATGCCTAATATCTGTAATGTTGGCAGATCAGAATTTTCACTTAATGCAACCTGTATTTATAAACCACTAGGATGAAAAAAGAACAAATACAAGAAAGAGGAAATAATAATTACCTGTCTTTGATGCCACACAGATCAATGTGTAAATCACTGAAATTCCCCAGGGAGCCTTGCTGAACTAAAATGAGGTCCTTGGGCTGGTTATCAATAAAGATGAGCCTCATACAGCCTTGAAAAGCAGTAATGGGATTTAAACACTGGGAATCGGTGAAATTGTCAGGGCACCCTGTGGGAAAAAGAGAAGAGGCAGAGAAGAATATTGGAATGTTCAACTATTTCTGCTGGGATTTCCTGATGCAAGAACTCAGAGGCTTATTATTCCAAATGTTTTTATTCCTTTTGCTATGCAACCTCCTGTGTTATAAATCCTCTAGTTAGGGGAAAAAAGAAAAAAGGAAGAGAGAAGCCAGTCACTGAAAGTATCACAATATGAGGTTTCTACCTTGTGAAACATACTTGTGTTGAGCAAAATCAAAATGTGATTTTTTTTCATCTCTTTAAACTCCACAGCAACTAAAACATGAGCTGTTAAAAGAGTTGTACAGAATGTAAAATCATTATGGGTTAAATTCTGCTGCTGAAGCAATGTGCAGATGCAATCTTGTGGGCAGCAAGAAAGCCATTTGTATCTGAGCCTCCCCAGTATTTAGACAGCTCTGAGATCCAAACCTCCTGTACACCCTCACTTAGTGCTGTATCCACAGGGTTCATCAAGATCAGAACCATACTACAGTAAGCACTACACAGAAATATATTAGATTAAAAGATAGTTAATGACATCAATGTTTGCACTCTGCTCCAAAAAGCAGAAGACAATATTTTTCAAGACTTTTTTCAATTTCTAAATAGAGCTAAACCTATCTTCACTTTCCACAAGAGCTTTGTACATAAATACCTTTAAAGATTTGAGCTGCATGTCACCTAAGCTCCAAAAAGTCACTGAGCCTGATCAGAACAATGGTATCTACAGGAATGCTGATAACATTAATAACTCTAAGGCCTTTTAACCAGGGGAAAAAAAAAAGAAACAAAACCAAACCAAACCAAAACCACTCATGGTTAATATAGTTTGGAGATTTTGCATATATTGTCAGATAGATGTAGGTACCCATTGACTACCACTACCAGTACTCCACGTTCACAGCTCAGCCAGCAGTTCTGTTTGCTCTCTCCCTGCCAGGCTTGACCAACACCCCTCAATCTGTCCATGGTGCTGAATGCACTGCAATTTAATCACTCCTTACCTCTGCTCTTAGCTGCAAGCAGTGCACCTAGGGAGAGCTTTGTGGTGAGCACCTGAGGCTCTGCATCATGAAAACTTCCCTGCAACAACCCACCTCCAAAATAGTAGCTGTTCCCAGAGTAGATCCTGGACACAGTGGTTGCATGGCTGGCAGTGGCAGCGTCGCTGTCCAGTGTCAGGGTAATGCGGTGCCTTCTGGCATTGATGTTAACAGAATGCCAAAGCCCGTCGTGGAGATTAGTGCCTGGCAAAAAACGTGGACAAAGTGAAAAAAAAAAAAAATGTGCAGGAGACAACTGAGCTCTTCACATCTCCTCTTGCTTCCAACTTGTGGCTGCAAATATGCAGCTGAGCTATAAAAGGGGAGAACTGTAGCTGAAAAGGACTCATTAGCTCTGGAAACAAGCTGGCAAGGAGAAAGGGCCCAGGAAAAGGGAAATTTGGAGAGTATTTAAGTAGGTCATCTCACATTTTAGTCTAATCTTGTACTACTGCAGGCACTCATCAAGCTAGCTGAATCCTCCACCTTTCTGTTAACACACTGTTACAATTTTGGGGGTGTTTATGTCAATCTTCAGTCTGTTGGTAAATGCTTACAAGTCCAAAAGCGTGCAGAGATCTCTACTGAGCTTCTGGTACTAAGAACATGTGTGAGGCTGCAGAGGATTATATTCAGTGAGACATTCATAGCCTGTTCTCAGGCTCCAACCTGAAACCTGACTGACTCCAGCAGGTATCAGTAGGATTTGTGTTTCTCAAAACCCTCCACCACCAATACAGCACATGGTACTATTAATGGATGTACAGAAGTTGGATTTCTACATGGATGTCCTGAGAACTGGGATTGTTGCTGTGACCAGGAAGCTCTAAAGTTTGAGGGATATACTGGGCAGTCTCCTTCTCTTCCAGACACTCATGTGAACTGGGAAATTACTTGTCTTGTTTCCTTATTTTGAAAATCAGTGCTGCATTGTGTGGCTCTTGAAATATCACCACAGAGCTACAAAGAAACTCCACATCCCCTATTCTGACAGCCATGGGAATCAGTGGGGAAGCTTCTGAACCCACACACAGAGGTGCAGATCAAAAGCAACCTCATTACAGTTCAAAATATGCTATCATCAGGCTGAAGTCACTGAGATCAGCCACAGACAACTAGTATTTACTCCCCACCCTTACAGAATATTTTTGTTAATGCTGCTTTCATAGAAAACAAACAAGCACTTAGGAACACAAAGAGGTGTGAGAACAGTTCAAAACAAAATAAAAAATAGTGGGTGTTAGGTGTGTGTAAAGCCATTTCATCACAAATTTCAAAATGAAATTTACTCGGTAATGGCAGTTAACACATGCACAATTACCATAGAATTAGAGGGTGGTTTTCCAGCAAAAAAATGGATTTTAAACTAGAAGTGCAGTTTGAAATGAAATATGTTGTTAAGGTTTGAAATAATTAAAAGAGGAAATAGATCCCATTTGAGGGAAAACCAGGTCCATTCTTGAGCAAGCATGAGTTTATTGTGAGTACCTGACATCTGCAGAACATGGCACAAGCACCTCCTGCACATTTCCCATGTGCAAGTAGGCAGTTTAGCATGTTTGGATAGGCTGGACTCAGGTTCATTATTTCAGAACTACATAAAAACAAATGCATCCAACCAAATATTGACATTGTCTCAGCTTTGTCAACAATTCCATTAGGACTGCAATAAAGGCTGGAATCTCAGTTTTCAGTGTTCAATGGCAGCAAGCTATGGGCTGCAGCAATCTACATGAGTAAGGATAGATGCAGGGCTGCCTCATTTTCCATCATGAAGGGGAATGAAACATGCATACAGAACAGCTCTGCTTTGACAACTCTGTCAGTTTTTTATCGCTGCTTCTTTTAATAGATACATCTGCCCTCTTTTATTCTGTACAGGGAATATTTTAATATTACATGTTTTTAAACATCTGCTCTTTTAGAAAATATATTACTAATATTGTTATTATTTTTATTATTGTTATTATTCCCTCAAATTTTCCATCAGAGAGGCAGTCCTATTTTACCCTCTTGCATCCCACCAGCTTCACTACACAAAGCAGCTAAAGAAAGCCTAATAGGGAGTGTAAGGAGAGGAAGCCCATGGTCAGTCACTCTTCTGAGTGTAGCATAAAGGAGGAGTCCAAAGCTACATTTAGAGAAAGAAAATCAGCTCTGAGCCTCCCTTAACTTCTGCTGGGGAAAGATGCCGTGGCTGAGCCGGCCCCCAGCTGATTTCAGCACAGTCTGAAGATGGGAACAGGAAGGGCTTCATGTGACCTGACTGAAGAAAATTGAGTGTGACTGCTTAAGAACATAGAGGCTCAGCTAACTGTCAGTGAGATCGAGTCTGGAGATTTCAGGATGCCAATTTTCCAAGCTTAGATCAAGCTGGACAGAGCAGTTTTACCACTGGAAAGCAATTGAAAATTTAAAAGAGAAAGAAAGATTGTGTGTTTCCTTATTGCTTGATCCTTTCATCCCATGGAGCTGAACCTTTGTGTTTTAGAAGCAGACAAGTGAAAGTAAACAAAAAATAAACACCTTCAGAGATTTCCACTGGGTTCTCAGTCTCCTTTTGAATAAGTAGCATCAATCTCCCACCATGGAGGTAAAGCAAGAGATGTCCTGAGTTTTCAGACAGCTCGGTGAACAGAAGCAAGCCGTCTTTATTCCACGTTCGGAACTGGAAGCTGACTGACAAACCGTCAATTTGAGCAGTGCCAGGCAGCTGCAAGTAGCTTCGACTGGCGCTCACAAAGGTGATGGGAACAATCTGTGGTTCTGAGCAAGAAAAGGTCACATTGCCCTGCAAAAAAAAAAAAAAAAAAAAATCAAACATAATCAGCATGACTTTTTTGCAGTCATCCCAAAATATCTTCAGTTAAATAAGCTCATTGGATTTCTAATCGCCCTCAAGGCTGAGATAGGTATTATTATTCAGACACATATCTTTGGAAATCAATAGGAAATGTTATCTATCCATGTTGGGAAAACATACCTAACTTCAAAATTTTACTTTTACCCCAAATGCTGATGATCAAAAATCAAAACCTTACTTTTTAGAAGAATCTAAATGTAATCAAATGTCCTTATCAATGCCACACCTTAGCTGATTATCTCAGTCATACAGCCCTTCAATTAATTTGCAATTTGTCCAGAAGAGAAGCACATTTACTCAAAGCAGTCTGCAGAATCTGCACTAGCTTTTATCACTGTAGCTGATGGAAGAAATTACCCCATCAGTTTGTTCAGCCACTGTGGATTACCCTACCAGGTTAATCAGGCCATGGTATAAAACCTTAACAATATATAAAGCCAGGATGCACTTAAGGAGCCACATCTTTCTTTTCTCCAGGAGAAAATTGTTGCAGCCAGCTGCTTTGAACATGGCTGCTTTGTAAAATACCAGCTGTAATCTGATAAAAACATTGGAGTATAAGGCTTTCTCCATGATAACACTTCTCATCAGAGCCTGTACCTCACTCTAACTGGATAATTATAACGATCAGCACTTGATGGATGTGCGGGAAGTTGCACAGTGCTTGGGGAATTCCTGCCTGCAATCTCAGACAGATGATGAAACTGCTCCCTATCACTTTCAAATGTCTTTCCAATCTTTATTTTTTAAACAGGAAATAAGGTGCCAGAAATAGGCAAAGTAATCACTGGATTAAACAATCTTTGATAGATACTTATCTATATGGAGCTATAGTCACAGTGCCTGTTAGGTTCAGAATGCTACCAACCAGATTTGGCAAAAGGAATCCATGGGTATATCATATTAGAATGTGTTTTGAGATATAATCCAAAGCTTATCTGAACTCCGCTGAACATTAGTCAGGTGGGAAGTAGGATGGAAATTTGGTCTCAGCCTTTAAAAGGTTTCTACTACCAGCTGGGATTTGTTGCATGAAGAGATGGCACAAACTTTTTTTTTTGCTATTGTTACATTTCTACCTCAGTTTAATCAAAACTCAGGCCAGAACTCCTGTCCTGAGACAAGATCAGCAAAGAGTTCTGACTGCCATGCCAATGCTGGGACATATGGACAGGAGCTGCCAATCTCTTCCCTCTCTTAACCTGGTCAGACTTCAAGCTCTGAAGTCTGACTTTAACTTTAGCCTCTCCATTGTCTAAACTGAAGCAGAGCAGGTGTCGTTCCACACACCATAACAACAGAGAGCTGGAAATGCACAAAAGTGGTGCTGCAATATTCTGGGTAAATGGGATTAAAGGTGCTTTTGTAAGACAGACAAGAGGTGTGTCTGTCTTTTGGGGGTTTCTTTTCAGGAGGTATTTTTGTTATTCTTATTCAAAAATTGGGACTTCCATGACATAAGGGGCCATAAGTAATTGCAGTCAGGACTAAAAACCAGCCAGGATTTGTAAAAAATAAAAGGAAAAAAAAAAGAAAAGTTGAGTAAAACAACTGATACCCCAAGAACTTACATCAATTAAACTGATTAATTTAGGAGGGAAACAAAGCAGCATTCCAGAGCAAAGCCAGATGATGAAGTTAATACACACCAACAATTGTTGACATCCTTACACTGACCAACCTGTCTACCTCCCTAGAGACAGTAACATGAAAACCTGAAAAAAAGACATACACAACTGTTACTTTGAAGTGGATGGGTTCCCTTTAAAAAAAATTGTTAAATTTGCTGTGTTATTTTCAATCAAATTATTCCAGTAGGTCTAAGTCAGAAAAGTAAACAGCTCCCTCTAAACCTTCATCTGATCATGAGCATTTTGCATTAATTGGCAGCAGTTCTGGAACTCTCCAGGGTATATGCCAGATTTCTGGAAGACACTTGATTTTATAATTGAACCCAATTTAACTGAAAAGTAAAAGCTCATTGGCTAGGAAATGGGATAAGAATGGTCTAAACCCTAGAGAAAAGAAAGGAGACGCTCAGCTCTACCCAGCTGCCGGAAACTTTAGCTATCATGTGGCATTTGAGAATTCCATTGAGTCCATCTCCAGACTGATTAACAACTCCCCTAACAAGCAGTGAAATCTTAACAAAATAGTTCTTATTGTTCTTACAAGAAAAAACTTCTGAGCCTAAAAATGCAATCAAGATACTTGCAATTTTTTCACTGGCTGCCATGACAGCTGTCTTAAGAAAAGAGTAGAAGCAGCCCAGATTTCTGCAGGCAGGGTACAGCTTTAGAGGTGGTTCTTGTTCAAGTGAGATGTTGAATGAACAGGCAGCAGCATGTTACAGCATTTTAAAGAAGAACCAGAGCCTCTTCTATTAAAAGAGAATGGAAGAACACAGTTGCTAAGTGATGAGGATAAAAGTGGATTACATAGAAGATCCTCTGAGCCATAAACTTCATCCAAAACTGACTGGAAACTTTCCAGTGACTTCTGTGGGATTTCAATAAAACCTGTATAACTTCAATGAACCATTTCAGTCATTTCTGGCCCTTCTTCATGTAGTATTATGTACTGTTCAATGAAAAGAGAAGACAACACCACAGTCAGGGCAATTGGTAACAATTCCTTATACATCCTCCTTGCTCTCAAAGAATACTAATCAAAAATAATATGCACTTGGGAAATCATTCAAACTGACAGCTGCACAGCAATTCTCAGCACTTAGCCTACCAGAGGATCCAGGCCAAGATCACAGCTTGAAAAGAAAGAACAATAAATGAGTATTTCTGAGCTCTCATTCTACCTGCAGGTTAGAGCATCAAATGGGCACTTAAACTTTCCTCATTAATCACTCTGTGGATACTGTCCAATAAAAAGGGTCTCTTGCTTTCTGCAGAGGATTAGAAAGGATGATTTCATCTGACAGGTAAAGAGACTAAGATCCCAGGCCTGGCTGAGATACAAATGTGGTCACCTGGCAAGAATATCTCCAGCTGGGAAACTGGAGGACTACTTCTAGCTGTGAAGGGACTGAGTTTGCAGATGAATTTACAGGGAGAGAAACAGAAGAAAAAGGTCACCTTTGATGCAGTTTTAAAAGGATAAGATGAAAAATTGGACTTTAACTCTGAGAAACTGGATTTTGAGAATGAGGGAGGTTCCTTCAAGCTCTGTTTTTAAATTAATTCTCTCTAGCAGAACAAATGTCAGGAGATCCACATATTTCATGCACTTCTCAAGACCATGCTGAACATTCCATGAAAAGCAAATCAAAGTGAGATACCAGCTCCAGCCTTCTGAAATACTGCTGCAAACTGTCTTCAAACAGGATATGGGAGCACCAAGGTGCACAGTGTTCCTTCAGTTAGGATGGGTCCACTGAGTGAGCAACCAGTCCATCCCAAGGGCAGGGGACCAAAAGTTCCTGTACTGAAATGGGTTTCTGTTTCTGCGAAAAAATTTCAATATGGAAATCTAAAAGCTTTCCTGATCCAAGTTACATTGAAACTAATATGGCCCTGTGATAATCAATCTCGTATAGAGAACTGCCCTATCTCCACTTCCTGCAGGTACCATGAATTCCAATAAAATGTTAATTGTTTATCACATTGATTTAAGTTGTTTACATTAAAATAATATTCCAGATGGAGAGAAAGTAACTTTTAACAAAAAATAGAGAAGGCTTAGAAGAAACTGAAACATTGTGACAACATGAGAGAAAAAGGGATTAGATGCTGGGCTGGACCTTTCTGGATGTTCTTTATCTCAGACTCCTAAACTGACGGTGTCACTGGCCAGACACACAACAAAGGATTTTAGCATTTTTATGCCCATAGTAACTGTACATAACTGTTTCATTACATGGTGCAATAGTTAGGAGATGCTGAGAAAAGATGAGAGCAAATACAGAAATATTTTTTAAACATTCTACATTGTTTTTCTCAGACAGGAAAAGGGGTAAAGAAGACCACAGGAGGAAACACACATACACAGAAAATAGTGACCACTTAATATTTTCTCTCTATGGTGTATTGACTTTGTCTGGATGCTAGGAAGAAAACCGTCCTGTGTCAAGAGAAAGGCAGTTCAATAAAGCAAAGGCTGCACACAGAAGCAAAGGAAAACAAAAGACTTAATTTTTACTTTCCATGAGCAGATGATGCCCAGCTACTTCCTAGGAAGCAGGGTTTCAGCATGTGTAGAAGTTGCTCTGCAATAATGAATGCCTTCCTTTCTCTCTTGGCTTTTATTGCTGAGCAGACTCCCTTGGTGTGGAATATCCCTTTGGTCAGTTTGGATCAGCTGCATCTCCTCCCAGGATCTCACCCACACCCAAACTCCTGATGAGGGAGAATATTCACTCTAAGCAACAAGTAGGAATGAAGCCAGCCTTTCATATTCACCTTACTAATAGTGAATAAGATAGATGTGTTAGATCAAACTGGCCAATTACTACAGTCCAAGTCCAATTTTTGCTCCACTTCAAGGTAAAGTGATCTACAGCTTATTAGTTTTTATTGCCTGGAACAAAACACAGCAGCAATGAGATTTTTTTCCTTCATTATTATTATGAAAACAGAACTACATCTACCTTAAAATAGAAAAGTGTATGGAAAGCAATTCCTATCAGCATTTTCCTTTTTTTTATGTATTAGTTTCTCTTAATAGATTTTCCTCTTTTAAATTCCAATTATCTGTGTATCATAGCACAGCACCAGCTTAAATGGTTGGGGTGAACTGCACACAATCCAGGCTCCTGACTGTGATGAGCTCACCTTCTGTTATGCCCAGTGCCAAAGAGTTCCTAAAGCCTTACGAATTGGAATAAGACATTAAAATATATACCAAAGCCTTGGCTTTGCAGAAAATTACATTTTCTCCCATTTTCCTTATCCCCTGCTTGCTCCTATGACAATAAT